TTTATTGTAAATGATAATATTCTGTTTCTTACCTAAGCAGGTCCGTATGGCAGGAATTCAATGGATGGGGAGGTGAGAGTTTAATGACGTCACGCATATAAGCACCCCATAGAAATAGAAAGGGAACGATACAATCGCTCATACGTGGAACATAAAAAACAGAATATGWTCATCCGATCAAAAAGTGGTTCTGAAGAGCGAGTGGGTCACGGGTGGCAGCGGGGACCTTTGAAGTGCTTTTTAGACATTTAGCATATAAAACTGTCAAATTATTGGAAATTGTGGGCACATATTCAGCATCACCTTTTGCAGTGGCAACCTCGGCATCAGGGTGAGCCATTTTGTGTACCGCTGTGGGTGAAATGCAGATCGGCATGCTGACTTGATGACCAAGAATAGTGGTAGACACGTCCACTTCTGTTATCCCTCGAAGCATTCTAGGTCTTAACCTCAACCTATTTGATATGACAAAAGCTATTATCATTATTATTTGGTACTTCTTGACTGCTGTACCATCCTGCTAAATTAGAATTTCAAGGGATTGACTAGTGTTTGTTGCTGCGCTAATGATTTCAAATTATTTTGTGTATGATAACAGTCCTAAATCCCGTATTGCTTCAATTACTCTTTCCTTGTATCAATGTTGTATGCTAACCTTGTTCTGTTGGCACATCGTCCTGCTTCTTTTGAAATAAGCCCAAGCCTCCCAAAATTAGGAGCTATTATTTATATTAGTGTGCTATAATGACCAGCAGAGCCCCTTGATAAATATTGACGCTTATATATTTTTTCATCTGGCTACAAAAGCATGCTACAGCGATGGCCATCCTTTTCACTCACTTATCAAAGCACTAATGAAAGCGTAAGGGGTGAAGAATGGTCCTGAGAGATTTTCCGAGAACTTAGAGTTTGAGAATTTTGAATTCCAGATCGAAACTCAGTTATTAAGTTGAATACGGAATTCCGAGGCATCGCATATATATTGAAAATGCTCAAATTCTTGGCGACTTCAGTTGCGTGACTTAACCGTAAACCCGCTCTATAAATCTGCTCAGGCCACATTAAGGGTTTCTCCTGTTTTCAAGTTATGTGTGTTCTCTCGAGTCATTTGTTCTAAATATTTACAAAGAATACAGGCTCATTTGGGCTAACGGGATCGGTTTGTTAAGAGTAATAAAAGTTACGGAAAAGAACAAATTCCAACCGAGATTCATGTCGTGCGATGCAACGATTCCTGCTCAATTGTCGATGTTATTGTACCCTCTTATAAAAGTCAAGGGCTCTAATAGAAGAGAAACTTCGGTATTCTTTGCTTTATTTACAGTAATGCTTCTGCCAATATGGAAGTAAACCAGGGATTATTGATTCTATTAAATGAACAGCAACTATACACTTGACAAAAGGGTTCAACATCAAAATAATAAATACAGTATATAGTCACCTTTTGAAAGCCTGAATGTTTTCCTTGAGCGTTACCTCGTCATCAGCACCTCCCGAATAGTATTCCAGAGCCAAAACACTCATCCTCTCTTTAGAAAGTTCTTCAAAATCGCTTAGACACATAGGTTCGTGAGATCTCTGCTCTGATGTCGCCATTTTGTTGTTTTGCCACAGGAAGCCCGAGACAGCATATCTATGTATTCGAGTTTGGTTATTTTTATTCAGTAAATTTTTGGCTCTTTATTTTAAAAGTGCCATTTAAAGTACAAGAGTTTTGAGAACAAACAGAATATTCAGACATAAATAAAACTTAAAAACACGGTGGCGAGATCCGAGAACGTCGAGAACTCATAAAGTCTTTCGACGCTCTTAGAGCGTTTACTCGGTTCACTCCATGTGGCAAAAGCTGGACCGACACTGCTTAATGGCGAGAGTACATCATACACTGTCTACACTGTGACGACCGGTAATACAGAATTGGATGTTGTATTTAATGTTGACAGTTTACAACAATGAACTGTTACAGCTGACCATTTTTCATAACTCGGTGTTTATATGCTAATATGTAAAGTGCTGGAAGTCTAATAAATATACTGAGCGTTTGAGATAAAGCGTTTTTCCGTGCTAAGAACTGAATTTTATCTTCATATGTCAAACTAGCGCCAATTTGTAGTCTGAATTACAAGCCATAACGTACTTCCATTTTAAAGATTACATTGGCATTGTTTTGTTATAAGAGATGCTGGAATATYAGCTATAAACGAGGAACATCCTAGAAAACGAAAAAAGAAGAAAACTTTAATGTCTTACTTTCCTGCTGTGTCTTTTCTTTTCTGTTCATTTCTTTTCCAACCCTGCTTCGCCAGCTCAGTACTATTTCAGCTTTCCTATTTTCAGGTTTCCTGTGCGCACACTGGAATACCACATCCAACACAAAGCCTTAAAATAGGTGTAGCCTACAGAGGTGGCTGTTCATTTACCATCGGTCAAAGCAAGAATTTGTATATTTGACAAACATCGCAAAATAGATGATATACGTTATGTGGTCTATTCTCAAGACGATTAAAAAACATGAAAAATACACAATATTCGTACCTGAGAGAAACGACTGGCGGCTTTTCTCTGGATTGTATTCAATAGRAGGAGATTATGGGTTCCAGGGAGAAATATATCTGTTCTTATGTCCCAGCAGCAGTAAGTCACAAGTGGTTGCCAGCGAGAAATTCAGGAAAAAAGAACTCTTTATTACTTTCTAAGAAATTTTGCCAGGAAAATAAAAATTTCCAAAATAAAAAAATATAAGCCGTTTTTGACCATAAAAACGTTATATAAGCCTTTTTTGACCTTAAAAACGTTTGCAAGGAGGAAAATTATTTTAAAGAAGGAAGGGCGCCACATTTCAGATGTGAGATTGTCAACAATGTAGCTCACAATCTTTTTCCCAGGAAAAAATTTSTACAAGAACAATTATTTTAGAAGCACCTCCTGAGAGAATTARGCCTGTTTGGAACCAGGGTTAGTACCAGGCTTATATGCAAACTAGCATTAATGGACAATACAACCGTGCAATATCACCCTTACACTATATAAGGGACTGTGCAATAATTACCAGGAGGGGGGCCGTAAAACCAGATGGGGGCATTACATAAAATTGATGCCAATATAGGGGGGGCTCAAAGTAAAATTACCTAATTAACAGAGGGGGGCCTTAAGTTTCATTCAAAATTTTCATWATTTTCGATGTTTCTCAAAACGCTGGAAATCGCACTTTCAAGAGTTATTTATTTCTGAATATTCTGGGGGAGGTCTAGACTCCCTT